AATATTTTCTCATCTTTCCTACATTTCCTGTGTCCTTAATGATTCATCTCCCCCCATAGATTAGACGGTGCTAGTGAGCTCTTGAAACTTCCAGTCATAGCTACATCATTTCACCTCTGCTCAGTCATCTTTTTTCCTTCCTGGCTCTCCCTGCCCCTGAAAATCTTGGCCATGCTTTCCCAGCTTTACTTCCAATCCTTCCATGGTTCTTTCTGCAGACCACACTCACCCTGCACTCTTCCCTCTTCTGGCTTCTGGCCCCAGGTATTGCTTTATTCAGTTAAATGTGGTTTAACTTTTTAATCATAAATGCCTATTCTGTTTTAATTTAGATTGCAAATTCCTCAAGCAATAGTTTAAAGTATATTTGTTGAATGGTTGAACAGATGTGTTGGACTTATTTGTAAGTAAAAAGAAGAGAAAGCGGAGGAAATGTTTTGGACTAAAAACTACTGAAACCCCTTAAGAAAAACAGGAGAGGTCGTCCCAGATACCCACTTCTCAGGACAGGGATGTGGATTTTTATTGGTCATTGCTAATTGTGCTCTGAACATTCGATATTTAAGCACTGAATTTAACAAACAAACCTTGCCATTGATCATTCTTACCTTTGTGATTTTGACATCCATCAGTCATCTGCCTAACCACATTACTACACTCTCCTCACTGTGTGTTATGTTAAAATTGTAGCCATTAGGCCCTCCCTGGTGGTGCAGCGGGTTAAAGCACAGCACTGAGAATCTAAAGCCGCTTCCGCATGAGTTCGATTCCCGCCTGCCCCGGAGGTGACCACATGGCGTGGCAGACCTCTCCTGACCCTCCCGCTGCTCCCCTCAGCAGTGTACTTCATCGATCTGCCTGTTCTGCTCCCCATTCTGTCTCTGGTGAAGCCTCTCGCCGCCCCTGAGCCTCTGGCCTGTACCCCAGTTCTATATGCACAAATAATTAAAAATAAATCTTAAAAAAAATTGTAGCCATTAAAGAATGCCTGCTTCTGTCAAGGGACACAGAACTTTCCTAAGCATCTCTCTTACAAAGGAAGTGTGTGGGTAGATTGCTATGCTTGTGATATATCTCAGATGCCTTACGTTGTTTTAGCGAGCATGCTCGTATCAGCCCGCTGCTTCCTCCTGGCTTGCCTCTGACTCTTCAGCAGGTGCTTGTGTCTACACACATGGACTGATGAGAAACACCCACCTCTTTCTTGTCAGCATTGTTGTGAGAAAATTTGGATTAGAAGTAGGTTTGGATTAGCAAGGTTGTCTCTTCTTGAGATCTAGAAATATATGCTCCATTTCCTTTCAATGCTGCCATGTCTATAAGGCAACTATAAAAATGTCTCCACATATTTAGTTAAAAATATGTGAAGGGATAAAGTGATATTTATTTCAACAATGCAGGCTGTATTTGAGTCAGCTTTGTTTGCCCTTTCTCATCTGTTCCTTGTTCCATTAGTATACGCTTAATGGGTGAATCACTTCTAGAAGCCATGTCTCTGCAAGGTTCCAGAATGTAGAGTAGAGAACTGAGCAAGCAAGATCTTTTTATCACCTTGGTGATTTTACATTGACCACACATTGCACCAGGGTTAGAAGTCTTCTTTCAAGAAAGCTCCTGTTGAATCATTTGGGACGAACATTCCAGTTGTTGTTTTATTAGTCTGTTGTCTCCTCTTTATTCTGTTAGCAAAGGGCAGAGCCTTGGGTATTAGTACTCAGAATGCAAGACTTTTCTAAATTTAGTAGGGTTTGATGGTTTCATCAAAGATGAAACATAAGCAATGGTAGCATCAGGTACTATTTTTAGGGTAGACCCAGAAGGAACATAATGTTGAATTATCCTGTGAAGATTAGTGCATTTTCTCTCTCAGTTCCTCTGATTAATCTCATGTTGGTGTCCAGTAATGCTTGGCGAAAGCAAAGTGAAGTGGAGAAGCAAAGGTGTCCCTCCCAAACTGATAGTCATGTTTTATTTACATGTTGTTTGTGTGATTATAGTTAACTGCCACTAGCTTCAAGTGATACCAGGGATACATGTATACCATGGAAGTTTCTTTTTAAATATAATTCTTCCATTAACTATGCAGTGTGGATTTAAGAAGGTATAACACAAGCTTGCAGAGAGATGTGTTAGCAACTACGTGGGTGACATCCAAAGACTGATACTTGGATCCCCTGGGGTAGGAAGCAAAGGAAGTGTGTGTTATACATGGTGGGGGGGGGGAGATGTTAATTGGTTTGTTTTTTGTCTGTTCATTGTTTTTGTCTAAAATAAAATTTAAAATGAATTAAGGCATGTCATAGGTACCTGCGATATCAATCATTGTAATCAGTGAAATGAAAGTTGAAGGTTGAGAGATAGAAATATTGGCTTCAATTCTTGGGTGGTATTAGGAGCAGAGGCTTGTGAAAGAAGACATTGAGAAAACACCCGGGAGAGACTGAGAGGAAGGAAACAGAAAGCACTGGGTTGGCTGAAGGCAAGACCTGCTTAGGAGCAGAAGTGAGACCAAAACAGGATCAGGGAAGGGGCCAGGCTGTGGACATAAGGGGGCATTGGCATACTGGTCAGAGAACTTGGTCTTCAGTTGGGAGGCATCAAGGGGATGGGGGGCACATAGGTAGGTGTTTCGGGAGACAGTGCTCTGGGGGTGATGTGCAGATGCCTGGAAACGGAATCACACGTGGCTGGAGACACCAGCGCAGTATCACAAGCATTGGAGCCAACAGTCAACAGTCGTGGATGGACAGCCCAGAGCAGCGTGCTGCCTGAGCTATAGCAGTTCTATCTTCCTCCAGGTTTAGGGCAGCTGAGTCAATATACACTGCTGGTTTATGTCCACATCGAGGCATAAGGGTTTTCTGAATGGGCCTGCTCTAGAATGTTCTATCAGTTACCAAAATTGTATTGTTCAATCCCTGCCTGGGATTGTTCAGGAACTTTGGTGGAGCTTCTGCTGTCTGCGAGGGGCCCAGGGACAGCGCTGCCGCAGCTTCCACAGGGCAGTCTGATCCGCTCCCACCTCAGCAGATTCTGAAGGCCTCCCAGAGAAATGGTCCCGGTGATCCACACAGGCCCAGGCAGCCAGACCAGCCCCTCCTGAGAAATCTGCCTGTGAACAAGTTCTGACCTGGACTATTTCGGAGAGAAAAGTTCATTTTCCCACTTTGTGATTCTCCTCCCTCCTGCCCTCTTGCTCACAGCCTCCCATTTCGATTTCATTTTCCAACCCTGAACATCTGCGCTAAAGTGCTCCTAGGCAATGTATTTATTACTTGGAGGGAAATAGCTTTCCACAGCCAGGCCAGCTGCCCACCCTCCTTGCTACCTATGTGTTTAAAAAAGTCACACCTTGCATTCTGTTGGGCACTCACTCTGTGTCAACCAGTCACAAAAGGAAAAAAGTGGTGTGTGTGTGTGTGTGTGTGTGTGTGTGTGTGTGTGTGTGTGTGTGAACTCATGCACACACTGGGGAAAATGGGGCTTTAATACATCTAATGAGCACATTTCCGGTTTTCATTTTCTTCAGATGTTCAGTGGCTTCCATATGTCTGCTGCACGCAGCTCTGTTCATCCAGTTTGGTGTTGCTAACCTTGGGTTGCCTTTGATGCAGACATGTGTATCCGCTGTATCTTTCACTTGTGTTTACGCCTGAGATCCAATCTGGAACAGTTTTTGGTGTGGGAGGTATAATGTGTGTCTGTATGTGTGTGCACATGTGTGTATGTGTGCGCGTGTGTGTCTGTGTGTGATCTCTGGGGATCCTTAACAGAGATCCCGGGCTGTCAAATGGCTGCTCTAGGAGAAACTCCCTGTGAGATTGGCTTCAGCTGGAAACGTCCTCGTGCAGGTCTGTGCGTACCTGCTTGCTCTCCTTGCCAGATACGGCCAAGCGGGCCTGAAGCTACCCCCCTTCCATTTGCCATGACAATTCATTTCACTTTGTTTCTTTCTTCCTCTGCGTCAGGGTTTGGCTGTTGTGCGCCTGTTGGAAAAATGCAGGGGGCTGCAACCCTGTGGTATTGTTCCTCAGCGGCCCTTTTTGACATGTTTTCACATAGTCCTACAATTTGAAAACAAAAAAAGAACTATCTACATTCAATTTCAGAAGACCCCTAATCTCTAGTTCTGCAGACCATGCAGACCAGCTTTGCTTGATACGATGACAGATTTCATGAATGTTCCTTCTATTCCCTGGAGATGGCACATTTGCACCATTGTCAGTCACAGCAGAGCTGGTTGACAGCCGGCTGGAGATGTGGCCACCACAGTGGAGAAGCAAACACCAGGCTGCCCGGCGTTATAAGCCTCCAACGTGCACCTCCCGCACGTGCTCGCTTAACACACCCAGTGGAGGCTTGCGCTGTGTTTTCTCACTGGGAAGAAGGCTGGCTACTGAGCAGCCAAAAGCAACATTTCAGCACTTGGAAAATGTTGCAAAACACCCTCTATGTCCAGCTAGATGCCACTGCCTTCTTTGTTATTTGCATGGTTTTGTTCAAACAGGAAACCTTGTCTGGACTGAAGCAGTACTTTCACCCACATCGGAAAGTATGTCAAGCCTCAGCCTTCTGTCGCTTCCTACAGTCCTCTTGAAAGATTTGCAAATTCTCTTGCTTTATAAAATGAAGGACCAGTAAGGGGACAACCCCAGTATTTTGGGGGTTGGATTAGATGTGGTTTTCCTGAGCTTGAAAGGAAATCTTCCCAGGGTGTTCGAGGTCCGACTGTCAGAAACCGTTGACTCTACTGATAACCTTTTATAAGAAATGGCTGTAGGTCCTGGGGTGGGGTGTGAACCTCCCAGCCTTTTACTCTCTAAGACAAATGTCTACAGAAGGACACTGGAGGGAACCATTAAGAATGATTTGCTTGTGCACTAGGGAGGCACCAGACAAGACCATCACAGTTTACATAGGAAGATGAAATGATTGACTGGTACCACCACCCTTTCCCCTAAAATGAAATATCTTTTGTTGTTTTTTTTTTTTCCCAACAGCACCATCATCCATTGCTTTGGTCCAAGCAAAAGAGGTCACAAGGTACAGTGTAGCTCTGGCTTGGCTGGAACCAGACCGACCCAATGGGGTGATCTTGGAGTATGAAGTCAAGTATTATGAGAAGGTATTGCTTGAATAATCAAGGCTCCTCTTCTCATTCCTCCCTTTTGTCTTTCCTCCTTCTCCCCTTTCCTCCTTCTCTCCCTTCCTCCTTCTCTCCCTTCCTTTTTTCCTCGATTGTAACCTGTTCTAAATCCTGGGATATCAGTAAATCTGAAAACCAAATGTATTTTGTCTTGCAATCAAGTCCAATTTTATGTTTTAAGTTGGTTACCTTGAAAAAAAACATGAAAAATACATTCTTGTTTTATTTTTTTTTCTTTCTAGTAATAGAAATCAAAATAGCCAAGACGTTCTAATCTATAAACCTCCTATCAGGCAGAGTGACTCATAAAAGTAGAAATAATGATCTGTTTAAGTAGATCACTGGTATTCAGAATCAAGATGTGGGTTTTCATGACTTTTAATAGAAAATCAGGGAAGGAAAATTACATTCTTCAGGCTCTTAAAGTTATAGAAAGACATTATTTTTACAAATAACTTGTCTCTCTTAAAGGACAGAATTCTGAAGAGAGCTATTTGCATTCAAGGTTGTCTAGAAAATGAACAATTGTCTTCTCTCTCTTTTTAAAGATAATCACTTGTTGGTTTCCTTATTAAACATAGAAAAGGGAAAGTTTTTTTTTTTCCTTATTGAAACCATATTACAATGTTTTTGACGTTTTTAGACAGAAAATAGAAAAAAGACAAGGGACCTTCTTACAGTTAATTTCTATTAAATTACTGGGTGTGGAATAAAGAAAACCACCAACTATTATTTAATGTTCTTAAGAGAGAGAGAGAGAGAGAGACAGAGATTATGAGCAAAAATCTGCATATAGTAAGTGTCAACATGAATACCCAAGCTCTGGATATCTGTAGACATCTTGAGCACCATAGCACCGAAAATGCTGGAGAAGATAGGATTTAGAATTTATCCATCTCCTTTTATTTCAACTTTTGTGTAGAATGGCTGAGCAGCTTTGTCCCTGAAGTAGGTGGAGGGATTTTCCTGGCTCCTTCCTCATTTTGCCTTCCCATCACGCAGGATCAGAACGAGCGAAGCTACCGGATTGTTCGCACAGCTGCCAGGAACACAGACATCAAAGGGCTGAACCCCCTCACTTCCTATGTCTTCCATGTCCGAGCCAGGACAGCCGCTGGCTACGGGGACTTCAGTGAGCCCCTGGAGGTCACCACCAACACAGGTAAGGCATTCTGAGGTGTTTTCTTTTTCAGAGTCCAGGATAAGCCCCACTGCAGTGTAATCCAAGAAATGGTCCATCCTTTCTGGTGAGGCAAGCATTTTGTTGCAGTGAATGTTGTTTGAAATTAGATAGCCAGTGTCTGTAGCTTAGAAAAACTTATGCTTTTGGAAAAGAATGTTTTTCATAATAGTAGCTGACTTGTCTTTTATATCTGATTGAAAAACATTGTCTATTTTTCCTTTGTTCTGAGCATTCTAGAAACCATGAAAAATGGGATTCTCTAGACTAAGGGAAAGTTGCACAGCTAGCTTACAAGAAGAGAGGGGGTTTCTCCCTGAGAAGATTAAAGAAAAAAACATTTTTTTTTAATCCTGCTTATTTCTAGGAATCTGTTTAATTCTAGATCATTTAAAAAAATCTTTGGGATGAATCCATCAATCTTTCAACATTGTGAGTTAAATCACCTGGTTGACATAATCGGAGGTTTACATAACATACCTCCACCTCAATAATTAACCAACCAAATTGAGCCTACTTAATAGAGGGAGGTACAGAGATCTTGGCATCAATTCTAGCAAGGAATTTTGTTCATAAATTATTAAATAAAATTAGAGTGAAAGAGAAGCAGAGAAAGTACCTTAGGATTGAATTGGAGGGGGCTGATACCCATTGTCGTTTTCCTGGAAAACGACAAGAGGAAGTGATTTCTGAACTGGGTAATAATAAGCAGGTTGCTGCTAGGTGCCAGGAGTGGGGGAAGAAAGCATTTGTCCTTTCTCACTAAGGATGCGTCAGTTTGTGAAGAAAGGGCAAGGGGCTGAGAGCAGAATGGGAAAGCAGGGAAAGCTGGAATGGCGATGTTTGTCATTGAATAATAAGTCTTCTTTGAAGTTCTTGGCCTGATTATAAAAACAAAGACTTGTGTCCTTAAGACTGTCTTAGAAAAGGTTGCTTCCAAGGTCTAGAACATCCAAGTGATTTCAGAAAGTTAAAAGTTAGGATACACGGGCCCTCTCTGGTGATGCAACAGGTTAAAGCACAGCACGATGAAGCTATCCAAAGCCACTGCAGCATGTGTTCAATCCCTGGCCCTGGAGGTGACCCAACATGGCGCAGCAGACCTCTCCTGACCCTCCTGCTGCTCCTCTCAGAGGTGTATACCAGTCAATCTGCCCATTCTGCTCCCTCGTCTGTCTCTGGTGAATCCTCTCACCCCCACATCTCTGGCCTGCACCCCAATTCTTTTTTTTAAGATTTATTTATTTGTGCATATAGAACTGGGGTACAGGCCAGAGGCTCAGGGGCAGTGAGAGGCTTCACCAGAGACAGAGTGGGGTGCAGAACAGGCAGATCGACAAAGTACACTGCTGAGGGGAGCAGCGGGCAGGTCAGGAGAGGTCTGCCACACCATGTGGGTCACCTCCGGTGCAGGCAGGGATCGAACTCATGAGGAAGCGGCTTTAGATTTCAGTGCTGCGCTTTAACCTGCTGCGCCACCAGAGAGGGCCTGCACCCCAATTCTTATGCATAAATAAATAAATCTTAAAAAAAGAAGTTAGTATGCAGGCAGTAGCTCTAGGTTCCAAGCCCTCCCAAAGTGACCCATTTTTCTCTGCCCCTGCAGTGCCTTCCCGCATCATCGGGGATGGAGCCAACTCCACTGTCCTGCTGGTGTCCGTCTCTGGGAGTGTGGTGCTGGTGGTGATTCTCATTGCAGCCTTTGTCATCAGCAGGAGGTAAGCAATTCAGCTCCTCCCCACTCACCCACCTCAGTTTTGATGAGGGTACTTTTTGTCTTCCTCACACAAAGCAGGGCTTTTGATGAGCATCATAAACACATTTGCATTGCTGACCCTTCTCTACTTTGATCTCCTCACACTTCTCCTGGGGTGTGTGATCTCCTCACATTCCTCCTGGGGTGATAGGCAACAGCCTAGTGGCAGCCCTCATAGCTGAGAGACCTGGAGGGAAAGATCCAACTAATCTAGGAAACTAAGCTGAAAGCCCAGCCCATGGGAGACTTCTAGATTTTCTAAGCTACATTTATATGTAGTTTGGACTTATTGCCAAAGGCAAAAAAAAACAAATAAATAAAACACAAACTAGGACCAAAAGTTAAAGCACTGGCCTTTGTCAACTATCTGACTTAAGCATCTTGAGTTTTTCTCTCTTGTAAAATATGAATCATAATAGCTTCCATAGGAGTTATGACTAGAATTTTGATAGGCAAAGTAGATAAGCCTGCACACCTACAGTAGGTGCTTCAGTATGGCACTGGTTAATAATGAAGCTAACGAAAGGATGTGGATGCCTCAGGAATGGCGTCAATACTTCCGGGGAATGGTCCATGAGCACAATGTGAGCTTGGCGTTGCTCATGGAGATGACTCTAAAACAGCAGATTGTGCAGTCTGGAGAGTTCACAGTTGAACTTCATGTGTGAATAACCATCTAGAAGAGAGCAGAAACTAAAAATGGCTTGACTGCTGGTTTTTTAGAACCAGGTATTTTGTTTGCTTGGCTCCTCTCTATACTTAATTAGCCCTGTAGGGAGACACCAGAAGATGAGAGATGGGAACCCGGATGCCCAGTAGTGGGGGGGACGAAGGGGGATGTTGGACACCCACCTCATGTGTGACCATGTCCAGGTCCCTCCTTGTCTCACATGTAAGCATTTGTTCTCTGACCTCCCTCTCCCCTAACACTTCACAAGTGGCAAACATGTAGAATCTGGGGATGTCAAAATGATGCTCTGAAATGTAGACCTTTTCATGCTATGGAAGTGAAAAGGGTACTTGGAGAAGAGTAAGGTTTATGGGCTGGTGACTTTGGCACAGAGGTGGGTCTCAGGCTGGACACCCAGAGCCACTTGTCTGTAAACACAGTCTGCTGCCTTCTGTCTCTCCTGGTGGAGATCTCACAGCTATCACAGAGCACCTCTGGCTAGGACCACTGAGTGGACAAGCCACAGTGCTCTCCCGACCGTGTGTGGATGTTATAATTAGGCAGATGACCTGCATGGTCACAGCTGTCATATGTGTCTATATCAGACCTCCATCCACTCTCCACAATGCCCTGGTGTATAGAGCTCAGCAAGAATGTGGTTGCCCAGGGTCTAGAACCCCTCATTGTGTATGGACACCCACCTTTGTCACTGTCTTCATTCTTTTTGCTATAAGTTGATGACCAGGTGTGTTTGAGTGGAGCAGGGAGGTCTATCTTGACAGAGTTCAGTCTACTCCAAAGTCATCTGTAAGCCTATATAACACGCATATATACATAGACATGCCCGCTGCACCCCTAATGATAAGAACTATATCTCAGCCTTTGGAAACTTCAAGTGGCCTGAACAGAATCTGAAATTCCAGTGTTCTGACATTTGATTTTGGAACTCAAGTCAAAACAGACCTCTCTCTTGTCCGTAATAATTTGACTTTGTGTATTCTATTTCCCAGGCATATAACATATGGGGTGCTTTATGCATTAATATGTAGCCATGTGTTAGTGGGGAGCAGGGAGTAGGGTGAGGGAGTGAATAGAAATTATAGGAAGTCCTCATTCAATGTTGATAGATTCTTGAAATTGTGACTTGTTTAAGTAAAAGAAAGAAAGAAACAAAGAAAGAATTTACTGGTTCATGCCATTCATAAGTCCAAGGATAAATTTTATTTATTTATTTAATATAGATTTTGGAACTGATTTTAAATGAAATGGTGTATAATGAAATCAAGGCCCCTGATGGCCTGGTTTCCTTCAACAATCCCCCCCCCCGCCCCCCGCTCACCAGTATTGCCATTGTAATCTTCAACTGTGTTGAACAAAACCTTATTTGAGGATCTACTTTTATATATATATACGTGTGTATGTGTGCATGTATATGTGTATGCATGTATGTATGTATCTAGGTTTTTGTTTTCATTATTGTGGATTTCTGCATTGGAGATTTTAGTGTTTAGAGATACCTTTATTGAAAAATACAGATTTTTTTAAAGTCTGCAATGAGAGGGAAATATTAATTACCTTCACCTGAAAAACATAATTTCCTGCAACCCAAACACACATCATGGGTGCTGAGGCCACACCACAGAACCTTTGTTTGTAAAAGTGGTTTGTCCTGGGGCTCCATCTCCTCTCTGGCAATATTCTCTGCTTCCAGTCCAGCTCTCCATCTGATCCATTTTCTTTTTTGATTTTTAAGTGGCTTTAAATATAGTAGTCAGGCTGGAGTAATTAGAAATAAGTTGCCCCAGCATAAATTTCATTTGAACGTTCTGCTTTGAGGAAAAGAAAGAAAAGCACATGAAAATGTAATGCAGGAAGACAAGTTTATTAAAAGCCGTAGCTATAGAAAATAGCATTGCAAGCTAGATGACTTAATTTCCTTTCTGCTTTTATTGATCACTTTATTATTTAAGGCAGGATTGATAGCAGGATGCATCGGATTTCCAATTATGAGTCCCCACCTTAGAGAATTGAGCCTGTCAAGTTACCCAGCGATGATTCCTGTCCCTTCTCCCCCATTAAAAAAAAATGTCACTTCCCAAGGCTGATAAACACGGCTTGGTGATTGGTCCTCAATGGATCACTTTTTAGAAAATGAAATGTCAACCCCTTGCCCTCCTATTGATTCTTCCTTAGTGTCGGCCATAAAGCTGTCATGGGAAAGGCTGCCTGAGCCAGGTGGCTCGTGGGCTTTGCAGCCGCTGATGCACACTCAACCGATTCTCCTCAGTGTGCAGGCTGTGTGCTTTATCTGTCACGTTGGGGCTGCACATGTTTCAGTGGGACAAGAGCAGGTGAAGAGAGGCGACAGGTAGTAAGGACAAAAATCTGGCTCAGTGAGTGTACAAATGAAAGGTGGTAAATTCTGTAGAGGGAAAGGATGTCCTGAACAAACACTAAGGATACAGGTTTCATGGACTCCACCCCCGCCCTAGACACCGGAACTACAAATCCCATCAACAACAAAGAGGAGGAGCTGGGACGTGAGGGTGGAGGGCAGTCAGGTTTGGATATAAAACCCGATGTGGGCATCAGGGGTTTCAGCCTTGGGGCTTGTCTCTTGTCTCTTCATGGGTTTTCATCATGTTATTGGGGTTCCAGGTTAGCGGAACTGGTAGGATGCATTCACCAACTTTTCTCTCTTTCTCTTTCCCTGAGTTATTCATTTCTCTTTTCTCTTGTAAATAAACCCATTATTATATTAACCTTTTTATGTTGCCTGCAGTTGAGTCTTAAGGGTAGAGGCGAGGACCCACAGTCAGGCAATCTAATTCACATTGAGTTGCTGGTAACACCTCCACCCCCAAATAGTTGGACCACACTGACCAGCAGACCAAGAAAGCAACAGATGAAACATTATGACCTGGAAAACAGGATGTTCCTCTATTGGTGCCACTGGACACAGGTGGCTAAATGGATGCTAGAAACAGATCCTTTATTGGGTGATGATCCCCTTGCCCTGAGTCCAGCTGGTAGGGGAGGGTTTTTAAAGAGGTAGGTGGGCAGGAACCCACACTGTGAGCAAAGTTTCAGGCTTTCTGATTACCTTAAAGAGAAAGTCTGTTGGATGCTAATTTGTCTTTTAAGAAAGAGGAAATGGCCTCAGGCTCACAGCTGGTATCTTGCTGGAATTTTTTATAGCTATTGTTTCATTGATTTCATTATATTCACTTTCTACTGAGGAGCCTGAGCTGGAGGCACCATGAAATTTTTTTTTTTTTTTCAGTGAGAAGATCTACTCTTTTCTTTTGGCCAATTTGAATGTGTAAATATGTATCAATCTCAAGGAAAGATGCAGGCTACTAAAATTCATAAACTTTAGCTACTGAAAAGATACCTTATCCAAAGAGCATTGACTTGGATGTCCTGAAAGTCCTAAAGTATATATATGTAATATATAATATATGATATATGATATATAATGTATAATGTATAATATATAATATATGATATATATATATAATATGTATAATATATAATAGTTTATTTTTTACATCATTTTGTGCCTTTTTCCATCTCAGTTGTAATCCTCGTGGGCTTCCCATCACCAGATTACCCGTGTGCCATAACCATAGTCCAGTGCATGTCCCTTCCCCCACCGTTTCTGATCCCATTCTCCGCTCCACCCCATAAAATTTCTCTGGTATATAATTGTTCATTATTATTATTGTTATTATTATTATTATTATTATTATTATTATTATTATTATTTTCTTCCCTGGTCCTTTATACTCCTGCTATGAGTGAAACTACCCAGTATTTTTCCTTTTAAACGTCCTAAAGTTTTAACCACTCACATCATGTTAAGCCGATTAATTTTCCTTTTTATAGACATCTTTGATCAGTGCCTTGCCACTAGCATAAAACTTCAGGATTCTGTGAGCTGTCAGCACACATACCTGTACTCAATACCTTTTGCCTTTTATGGTACCTGGGTGATGCGATCCTTGGAGATCCTACCCCAAAGCCCTTGCTCACTGGTGTTACCCTCACACCACTATTTCCTCTTCTTCCTCTGGGTGCATGTGACATCCACACGGTAGCCACTTTGTTATTTTATGATGCAACGTGAGGTCATAACTGTCAAACTGGCCATTGGATGTGCTACATTTCTCTTAAGCCCTTACATCGCTGATTTCATCAGGTTATCTCCAAAAGCATCTCAAATAGTGCTTTTAAGCTAGTGTATCTTCCCCAGATAGTGGTTTATCCTTTTTGTATGATAAACACTTTTCAGAAAGAACTAGAATACAAAGAGCCTCTCTTTTCTGATGGACAGTTGGACGTTCAGAGAGAGAGGTCTTACTTGACAACCACAGGGGGCAGCTTTTACCCCAATGATTGCCTACAATGCTGGGTTTCCGTTTATGTCAGGGTGGCAAAGCTCCCTGCATTAAAGAAAAACAGTGAATTGGCTCTAGGGGGAGAATATGAGTTGGCTGTGGTGACATTTGTGAAGGAGCTGCATGGATGGCTCAGATTTAGGAAACATACCAATGTGACATCCTCCATATTAGAAATGGAGACTGGAGAGGAAGTGGTAGGATCAGGACAGCAGGTCACCCAGCAAGCCAGTGACCAGATCGGGGTGGACCTCCACTCTTGACTTCCAGTGGCACGGAAAAGTTAAATGACTCTTGAACAGAAAACACTGAGCAAGGTTAAAAACGGATATCGGCAGTCCCAGTGACCCCACATGTCAGCACCAGCAGGGCTGGTGATGTGGTAACCTGTGAATTAAGGTGCAAGTCTAATGTTCCATAGAAAGTCAGACTTTTTCAAGCTGATCGAGTCTCCTCATGAAGGTTAAGAGTTTCCACTTTGGAGCTGTTTATATAATGTTAAAACAGTTACCACACAGTCTAGATCTGTCTTCCCTGGTGTCCTAATTGGAATATTATGATCCCATAAGAATAAATACACTTAAATGGTAGCCTAAATGGGCTCTGATGAAGTCATGTAAATTCATACAGTCGGGGCAGATGGTACTGAGGGAACATTTCTAAACAACTTTTCATGCAATCGTACCGTTCAATTCCAACCATTGCAAAATGTTGCACTTGAAGAACATTTAAGGCATCATTTGGTGCAAGAACAAAGACAGCTTAAGCTAGGGGAGAAAGAAGGATGATGTCTATGAATCTTCATGGAGGAAGCAGGGGTGCTGGAAAGGGTCCTGCTGAAAGCCGTGCTCGTTATCATCTTGCTTTATCTCGTGAACTCTGCACTTCAGCTGAATATGTTACTTATCTTTCACTAATTAGTTTTGGAGCAGTGAGCCACATCAATCAAATCTCTCCACTTTATCAGGGAAGTTTGTATTTTAATAAAAGACTTGTGGCCGGCCCTGCCATCCCCCTCCCCTCCCCCCCCCTTGTGGATGTTTGTTTATTGGGTGGTCGCAGCACCGGAAATGCCAAGGGCAGGAGGGCAGTTTGGGGTTCCTGCTGCTGTGGGGGCTAACCCCCTGGCCTCCCTGTGGCAGAGGGCAGGGCTGGTCTCCACTGTGTCTCTGGATCCCAGGCAGGGGGTCCCTATTCCATCCCCCATGCCCTTGAAAGGTTCCCTGTGTCCTTCTGGAGCATTTGCTGACAAACCCTTCGCATCCTCCTTCATCAGCTGGCCCACCTCTCAGTAACTAGCTAATCTCCCACTAAGGTTTCCTTCTGTCACTCCGAGATCTGCCAGGACTATAGATCCAGAGCCAGACCGCTGTAGGCTGTGTGATGCCCTCCAGGAGCTATTAAGCTTCAATGGGCTTTCTGCCTTGGGACATTAATGGGCTTTCTGCCTTGGGACATTAATGTGGACTTTGGCCTACCCTAGCCAGGAGACCGGGAAGACAGTGTCCTCAGGTGATAAAGGCAGAGCAGAGCTTGGGCATCTAGCTCTTGAGCTGTTATTTAAATCTCAGGCTGCTATTAGCCTTTGAACAGTCACAGAGCTATTTGTTTTTCTACATCCTTGGTCTCTGATAGGTCTTCTCCTCCAAGGTAAGACTCCAAAGAAAGAAGTTTCTCTAGAAATAAGTAATGCTCATTTCACACCTTCCAGGTTTAGTCTAAGGATGGGCTGGACACGTCAGCAGAGAATGAAGGAGGCCTGAGCACAGGTGTTTGACGCAAAGCAGAAGACAATTCTTGCACCTGGAGACCCTGGTTTCTCTTGTTCTATGCACATACACAGGCTTTGACTTTCTCACTGACAATTTAAAGTTGATACCAAAGCTCTCCAGCTCTGCATGTGTTTCTTCCATAGAGGACGGAAATTCAAATCAGTATTGGACATCTAAAGTGGTTTAAAAGATATGCTAGTAATTATAGATAATGCTTTTAGAACCTCTGATAAGATATAATCTCCCAGGGTAGCAGGACCCTATAACACCCTTGGGACCTGGCCATGTATTTCCCTGATGTAAAATGTTGTTTTAATCATTCTGGACCTACCCTCTTTCCTTTAAAAGGAGGAGGGAAAAGAGGATGGGGAAGGATCACATCTTTTGCAGAAGACACTTTGTTTCCGGATGCTTAACCAGTTTTAGTTTCTTTGAAGCAATGCTTTTAGAAGTCCCTGGAGTGGATTTATTGATATAAAATATGATATTACTTATAATCCACTCATCAGAGATCATCATGCAGCTACATCCCCTCTGTGAGAGGCTTGTGAGGGAGTGAGCCGGGACCAGGCAGAGAGCCCCTTTGACAGTCTCAGAGGCCCTGGGGATCTCTTCCCTCTGCCTCTGTTTCCTTGTCTGTACAATGGAGCTGAATGTGTGTATGGTTGCTTTCAAATGGCTGTTGTAAAGATGCAATTACATTAATAGACATGAAGGCCCTTTGAAAAGTTAAATGCATAGTAAAAAGCAAGCTATTATTTGGGACTGAATTTTATGCTCTTTGCTTTTAACAGAACTAACCAGGGTCTGTGTTTACAAAGTTGGTTCCTGCTTTGCAAACAGTAAAGGGAGGAGATAATATATGTGATGAGAGCATTCTTGAAAAGTTAACTGCAGTGTAAAAGTGCAAGGTATTATTATTTGCAAGGGAATTATACACACGGAGGAACATCTGTAGGCTCTACGGTCGGATTGCTGAGCTGGTTCCTGCTCTGCTGACAATTAGAGAGGAATGTGGGGGAGAAGCCAGGAGCATGTGACTGTGACTGGACCGTCTCCCCATGGGGTTCCTTTAGGTGCTTGGCTGGCCCCTCTTTTCCACAGTTGTGGGGGGCCTTGACCAGCAAGGCCGAGGATTGGGGTCCCAGGGTCGGCGAAAGGAGAAGGCAGAGCCTTGACTTGTGGCAGGCCTTGACCCGCATGGCGAGGGGGTAAAGCCCCAGGGACAGCGCGAGGAAGAAGGCAAAGACAGAGACACGTGAGAGTGTGTGTGTGAGAGAGAGAGTCCTTTATTCTTACAACAGCCATATATATATACTTGAGGGCAGCGTGGCACAGAAGGTACGGGCAGGGGGTGGTCTGGTGGTCTAATGTCGTAAAGGCCAATGGGTTTGAGGGGAGGGATCCATAGTCATCTCTTTGTCTCTTTGGCACCAAAGCTTGCTGAGCGGGAAAGGAAGGAGAGTAGGGGAAGGGATTCGGGTGTGCTGCATTCTCAACCAGGATGTTCACTCTAAGTTCCAATCAAGTGTTGTTTTGTGCATAGGAGGCAAAGTCCTGGTCTCGGTCCCGACACACAGTCAGCTTCCCCTTCGACGGGACCTGCTGCCTGGTAGCACTGTAGTCCTCAGGGAAGTTGCCCCCACCTCAGAGCTTCAGTTTCCGGTGTGTCTTGACCTAACTCATCTTTAAGATGCTAAAATAAAGGGCCCTTCCTGGTGGTGCAGTGGGTTAAAATGCAGCACTATGAAGTAGTCCTCAGCCACTGCAGCACAAATTCCATCCCCAGCCAGGGAGGTGACCCACATGGCACAGCAGACCTTTCCTGTCTCCCCCTGAGTAGTGGATTTCAGTAGACCTGTCTATTCTGCTTCCCACTCTGTCTCTGGTGAATCCCCAGTTCTTGTATAAATAAATATATCTTTTTTAAAAATGCTAAGAAAAGACAAAATGAGTGTACATGGCAATATCAATTGTACATTTTCCACAGAAAAATAATTGGACATACAATTTGGTTTCAATCCCAAACTTCAGGGAACTGCAACATCTACTGAGTTGATTTTCTTGTTTCATGTATGTGTGCATGAGTATGTGTATATGTATGTGTGATAGTTGACCCTTGAACAACACAGGTTTGAACTGAGTTGGTCCAACCTTTTTTCTGTCTACGGGTCCTACATTAACAATTTCAACCAGCTATGGATGTCAGGAATTACATCTGTGGGTGGAGAATCAGCATACCTAGAACTCACAGACAGAGATTATAGTAATGCTTCAATTTTCAACTGTATGGGGACTTGCGCCATAACCCCAACAGCTGTTCAATGCCAGCTGCTGTGTATACTGTGTGTGTGTGCACATGTCTATGTATACAGTGCATCAGGATTCCTGATTCCCAAAGCTTTACTAACCAAGTCAATGCCCAGACCACTTAGAACTCAGAGCAGAAAGCTAACTCCCAGACCATCTACCATTTTTCGCAAAGAGAATTAATCGACAAATGGAAACTTTTCATTTGTACATTTGCAAATTTTCTACCAACTCCTATATAATGTAATTCAGTACAAAACAAATATTTACTTTTTAAACTTTCATTAATAATTTAGGAATTTGTATGCAGAAGTTGAAACAAATAACCGCAAAGCTATTGTTTTAAGAATATAATGTAATATGATAATGACTTTTTGTGGTAGTGGTTATGTGGCTTAGCAAAAGGAGTTATTATTAGCTACTTCAGAATGAACATTATTGCCTTTTGATTTATTGAGAATTCAACTATGGAAGCATTTTAATTCAGAATATAAATGGGGAAGCTAGCCAGTAATCGTAGATATATTTCTTTTAAGGGTATGAAAATATAACAATAATAAAATGTTTACATTTTCACCCCAGTTTAATATCATGGTTAAGAGAAAAGACCCTGAGCCCTGTGTTTGAAACAAGTATTCACCTTACTTCATAAACCTCAGTTTTCTCATCTGTGAAATGTGCATAGGATAGATGCCTGGCTTACATTAGCATAGTAAAGTCTTTGTCTTATGGCTTGTGTTAAAGCTTCTGAAAATAATTTTCCTTTTGAAAATTGTTTTAATAGACGGAGTAAGTACAGTAAAGCAAAACAAGAAGCAGATGAAGAGAAACATCTGAACCAAGGTACAAAGAATGGATTTCAACATAATTTTATTTTTAGAGTGTCTCTTGTGTTTTCAGTTTAGAAATGTCTAACTGTCGTGTGGCTATTAATAAATACTGCATATTTCTTTTAATGAAATTGTCCCAAAAATGTACATCATGGGTGTCAATATTTGGGATCATTTAAAGTGAGGTTAAAGAGAGAGGGTAGAGACATTTCCTTCAGATTCTTCTTTTTCTTTATTATTATTTTTCCTCCACCCTGAAATGATACTGGTTTCATCGGCTCACTTTTGTAGTTAGGTGGCTTGTTTTAACAGGTAAATTTTTCTTGTAAATTTTTTTGGAGAAGAACAGAATAAGATAGACTGACTTCAACAGAGAAAAGTCTGTCCCATGGACAGAGGTCAATGACTCTCCCTGCCATCTTTTAACAGAACTGCTGGAGAGGGCGGCAGCTTCTCATATGTCCCATCCAGTGTACTAGCTTTGAGCCTTGAATGCTGCTTCACCTTACAAGTGTTGTAGGGGCCTCTCTGGTGATGCAAAGGATTAAGTCTCAGCATTATGATGCTATCTGCAGTCACTGCAGCCTGAGTTCAATCCCCAACCCCGGGGCTGACCCACATGGTGCAACAGACCTCTTCTGTCACCCCGCTGCTCCCCTCAGCAGTGTATTTCAATAAATCTGCTCCCTATGCTTGAAACAAGTATGCACCTTGCTTCGTAAACCTCAGTTTTCTCATCTGTGAAATGTGCATAGCATAGCAAAGACTTTGTCTTATGGCTTGTGTTAAAGCTTCTGAAAATAAAGGAAAAATTTTTCCTTTTGAAAATTATTGGTGAATCCACTCACCCTTTGCACCTCTGGCCTGTATGAAAGTTCTTCTACATAAAAATAAATAAGATCTTTAAAAAAAAAGAAAAAGGAATGTATGAACAAGAGGGTGAATTTCTAGTTTTATTTAGTTATTTTTTTTAAAGATTTATTTATTTATTCATCAGAACTGGGGTACAGGTCAGAGATGCGGAGGGTGAGAGGATTCACCAGAGACAGAGTGGGGAGCAGAACAGGCTGACTGACAAAGTACACTGCTGAGGGGAGCAGCGGGCGGGTCAGGAGAGGTCTGCCGCGCCATGTGGTCACCTCCCGGGCAGGCGGGAATCGAACTCATGCAGAAGTGGCTTTAGCTTCTTAGTGCAGTGCTTTAACCCGCTGTGCCACTAGGGAGGGCCAGTTTTATTTCATTTTAATGAATTTACATTTAATTACAACATGTGGTTAGTCGCTGCCCCAGAAGCTCAGGTAGCTGGTTCCACTAGCTCATTTTTGTAGTTTTGATTGTAGAAGGGGGAAGTGAGGGTAAGAAGGAAACCTAGGGAAATATTTTCTTAGCTAGAGCATAGAAAATGATGAGGGCTATGAGCTTCTGACAACTTCCCCCTTGTTCATCTCCTTTCTAAAACCTTGCTTTTTAACACCGTATTAATATTAAATTACATTGCAATAATAACGTATTTTTTTAAGATGACAAGATCGATGCATATACATTATCAAAACCTTTGGACCAGCTAGTGTCCTACACCCTATCAGGGCCCCAAGTGCCAGGAGCTCAAGCAGAGAGAGGTGGTAGAAAGCACCTGGTAATTACTAATGCGTCTTGTCCCGGACATCTCTGGGCTGCCTCAGAGCTCACATTCTAAATTTAGTTTGCAAGTAACTGGTAGATGGTTGAATTGTATGTCCTGATTTTTGAACCATTTGCTATGAGACTACAGCATTTTCCCTAAATGAGGTTTCCAGGGGAGCTTCCAAATCATTACTTACAGCATATACTTACATAAAATATATACAAGTATATGTACTTGCATACAATTCTATGCATCTTTCCAAAATTGAATGAAAGTGGAATGCAAAACCGATATACTAAAATCACCAGCTGATAGATACTGTCTTTTATTTATTTTTCCTACACTTATTCTAAGTTGCCTAATTTTTAGCCACATATTTACTTTGTTTAGATATTTGGCAAAAGTCAACACCATAGACAAATAACCAGCAGTAAATAAAATTTCCTGTTATCTTCCCTAAGGGTGGAGATGGTAACTAGGAAATGAGCGGGTGATTAGGATAATATTCAGCTAACATATCCCAAATTTCCTAATAGAGACTCTCCTTTCCTCCATGGGATGGGTTCGTTTTAAAATATCATCCCTGCAGTGTGAAAGACATTCTAGGAAGTCAGTTGAGCTGAAGCCTCTTAAGTAGCTAACAATTCTTCGTTTACCCACTAATGAAAAGCAGAGCAAGCATTTAACCATTTTCGTATGTCAATGCTAAATATTTTTCTTATGCTAAGAGACTTTTCTTGGTAGAGTAATTTTAGTCCCAGACATCTTAAGCTTATTCATGATTTCTGAGAAGTGTTCAACCAATTAATCTCTTCCTGTCTATGATGTAGGTGTGAGAACATACGTGGATCCCTTTACATATGAAGACCCCAACCAGGCAGTTCGAGAATTTGCCAAAGAAATTGATGCCTCCTGCATTAAGATTGAAAAAGTCATAGGAGTTGGTAGGTGTCTAAGTGTCCACCTCATCAGCCTATTTGTAGATATTCAGCCTGTCTATGTGGCTTATTTCAGTGCATAGGACTGTAGTGCATGGATATACTACTTTGCTGTTACATGAAATTTCCTTGAATGACCTAAAACACGAGTGCCAGATAGGCACAGTAGAAGCTGCCAACAAGTGTTCACTATTACTCTTTGATCTTGAATGTTTCTGGCCCATAGTGGATCGTTTTTCTCTCCCAAAGGTGAATTTGGGGAGGTGTGTAGCGGACGTCTTAAAGTGCCTGGCAAGAGAGAGATCTGCGTGGCCATCAAGACTCTAAAAGCTGGCTATACCGACAAACAGCGGAGAGACTTCCTGAGCGAGGCCAGCATCATGGGGCAGTTCGACCACCCGAACATAATTCACTTGGAAGGTGTCGTCACCAAATGTACGTGGGTCCCTTTCTTTACAAAGTCCAGTGAGAAGTTACTGGCAAATTGAACACACATTTTCTTGCCAGGGAAATGACAGATGGGGCAGACCCACTGATTGCTAATAGGAGAAAATCAGTATAGGACAAGCCATTAATCTTGTAGTCAGCTCTAAATGACTCTGTGGGTTAGGGTGATACCTGATTTCCAAGGCAGCATGTGTGAGATTTTAGGGAAATTAATATTGCAGATTTGGGGTTTGCCTCACCATCTTTCAAATCTTTGTTACACCAAATGGATTGTCACAGGGTAGGCTCAAGCAGATGGTAAGCAAATAAATTGTAAGTACTTTTCGTATACAATTAAATCTCACCATGCCTTTTTCGAAGCCTCAGTTGCAGATGCAGGGAGAGAATCTTGGGGATCTTTATTATATTGGGGGATATGCTTGTCTGCTCTGCCTGATTTATGACTTGCAGTTCAGCACCTATTTACAGCAACACCTGGGAAGCCTTCCTTTTTTAGGCCATTAGCACTCGCAGAGCTGCATGCTTCAGTTAAAATACAACATAGCTCAACAGATGCATTTTGGGAAGCAAAGCCTGAATGCATCTGTAAGGCAAATATCGACTTATAAAGTGCCACAGCTCAACAGATGCATTTTGGGAAGCAAAGCCTGAATGCATCTGTAAGGCGAATATCGACTTATAAAGTGTCATGTGGACAGCGCAGCTGAAGTGGATGCTGTTGAAGGCTCTGCTCCAGAAGCTGTAGTGCCTCAGGTCAAAGATCTGGTGAGCCTGGCCTGAGGCTTCGTCTCGAGCATGGCCATGGTCTTTTCTGGGATTGAAGGTGCCTGTAGCAAGCTAGCTCAATCAAGACCTAGAGGATCTGCTCCAGGAGTGAAGCGTAGGGCAGGTAGTTCAAGAGTGGACACCGGACTGGAGGCTGGCAAAGTGCAGGGAGCTGGTTGATCACTAAGGGACAGCGAGTCCTCCCTTGACATCCTCCACAGTATATTTGAAAAGGCCACTTTTAAGCTGAGCAGCTGTTAAGAAAAGCAAGTCCTTGAGTAACATATTGTACAAGGTAGGCTGGGACTGTTGTTCTCTTATCAGTATTGGTTATAATAGAAGGATATTGACTAAAACACCATTAGTCAAGATCTGCTTTCCAAAATCTTTAAGAAGAAAAAATGTGAAGTTTACTAAGAACTAAGCACAGTGACTCAAAGAGCATGAGGGTTACACTCACCCCCAGCTGCAGATCTGTGCATAACTTCTGATTTTCCTCTAAACTACCCCAGTCATCGTTGGGATCTACTGGCTAGTGGTTCAGGACCCAGGATCCCACACCCCCACCAATCTCTGTGGGTGCTCAAGACTGTTACAGTCCAGCCTCCACATCTGTGGGCTCAAGCTCTCCCTTTGTACTGGCTGACTTACCTGCAGAGATGGAGGACCAGCTGTTACTTATTGAGAAAAAAAATAATAATAATAATGGGAGGGTGCAAACCCGTGCTGTTCCAGGGCCCATTGTACACACCGATCCAGGGTTCCTCAAACTCAAATGTACATCAGAATTTGGGGAAACTTGTTAGAACAGTGTCCTGGACATGGCCATCAGGGGTTTGATTCGGCAGGTGAGTGGGCCCCAGGGATTCCCTTTTCCCAGAGCTCACAGGTCACTGATCTGCATTTTGGGGGCCATGCTTAGAGAGCCTTTGTCCTGCCCCCTTGCGTAGTGATGCTGTCGCTAGGACACGTCCTTGACCAGTTGCTCAATCGTTTGGTTTCCTCATCTGAAAAATAGAGCTAAAATAGAACTTGCCTGACAGAGCTATTTTGGATGAAGTGTGGCGTGTGCTTAGTACACTGCGTGGCAAACTAGAAAAAATAAAACCTCTTCAGTGTTAACCAGTGTTATGAGTTCTTAAGAACTACATCTCCCCCCATCTTCAGAATCCTTCAAATAAGAAAGGCTGGTGGTTAGGAGATGTAATTTTCCATCTAAGGTGAAGGCTATAATTAGCATAGAATAGCTTCATTGGCTTTTTAAGATTAGTTGTACAGACAGGATATTTTTCTGTTGCCTGTGGCCTCGGGGCTGCCCAGAGCCCTTCCCTTCTTTAATTAAAAGATAACATTCCCTTTAAATACTTCTGCAGGTCCATTTTCTCAAAAGGAGGCTCTGTTCAGCTTGGGGTGTTTTTCCTGCCTCAGACAGTGATTTTCATAGCACCTCTGCAGAAGGGAGAAGAAACAGGGGATCTTTGTATTAAAGTCCCACCGTGCCTCTAAAACCCATAGCTATTACAGCTGTAACTGTTATAAACGACTGGATGCATTTGCATAATGCAGTTGTCACTGAATTAAAATGATTTAAAATTTCCACCAGAGAACCTGTTCCCTTCCCCCACGTCTCCTCCCCACTGTCTCCCTGCCTGTTCCCGGGAAGGAGCCCCCTCCGCCACCCGTTCACCAACCCTTCCGCTCTGGAGACATCCATCTTTATTGCTCTTGTACAGCTTCTAGAGCCTGACAGATAGACACTTTGAATAAACAGGAATGTAGAAAATTGGCGAGGATGCGCCTACAGTCAAACAAGGAAGCTGAGAGTGAGGACGTGGCAGTGTGTGAATGCTTTACCTGCAGCCACTTGAGTAACTTTTGAAATCGGGAGGGAGACCTAAGTCCCCTCCTCCAACGCCTCCATTGGGCGTCTTTTACTCCCTTCCGCCCACCTCCAGGGCATCTGGTGAGAGCCAAGTAGGTGTTCATATACTGCCAAGGGTCACCCTTTCTCATTAGTTGACAAAGTAGCTTTTGATTGAGGTGGGTTAATTAAAACTCATTTAGATGCATTTGTTCCTGGGAAGACTGTGGACACAGATGGAGAGGGTAATGAATTGGAGAGCGGAGACCTTCCTATCTGTATTGAGGGAGGAGGAAAAGTGAGCAGAGACCACCCCCTCCAGCCAAACCTGGAAGTGATTTGTTTTACTCACTCTTTGGTCTACACCGTGGTTCCTACTGGTTCTGCCAACTCTCACTCATCACTTGAAAATAAAATCTCCATGGAATTATTTTCTAATCCAGAATTTTTGCCTCAGAGAGTCCTCAGACAAGGTACCAAAAACACAATTAAAGAACAAACTGATGCATTGGGCTGCGTGGGAATGAAAGACATCCTTTCCCCAAATGTTTGCCCCAGAAACGTAAAGACACGTCCCCTTATCTGCTCTGAAACAGGCTCTCTGAGAGGGTCTCCTGGGTGGGGAGAATCTGTTTGGAATAACTGGGAACTTTTCAGGAGGGACACAGCTTAATCCATTTCCTCCGGTCCAATACAGCAAAGAAAGTGAATATTTTGTGATTTATCAGACATTTTATTTGCCTCCCAGGGAACCATTTATGGCTTCTTTACTTTAACCCTTCCCTTAGTAAAATATTGAGGATTTATGTCTTAGCCCCAGCCCTCCCAGAAAGAAGAAGGAATTCAGATCTCGAGTACATTGCCAGTAATTAAGAAACTAAAAAGGGGTTCTTATTTCCTGAGGTCCTCAGAAAAGTAAAGTAAAAAGAAAGTGTTGTTCCTTTACTCCTGCCATTCCTTAAAACCGTTTTGATCTCTGTTGGAAAAAAGCGGATGGAAGAAAGTGAGAAGTTTCTAGTATGGAATTTCAGTGACTTGTCTCAGATGAAATAACTTTCTGGAACTTTGCTGTGGTTGTTATGTGGCTGATGAGGTTAGAACTTGAAAGAAGCAAGTAAGTTCATTGATAGATGAGAAAAAGAAGAAAGGACACAGCAGCCCCAGTCCTGAGCAAGACCAGTGGGGATGAAGTGGACGTTATTCTTGTCTCAGCTTGAAAATGAGCAGGAGTATCCAAAGCACTGAGGCCTGACATGAGATTTACAAATTAGGTAAAACAAGTTTCTCTATCCATGGATGCTGTAAACATCACACAAATGGCTCTTTTCAGGACAAAATTCATGAATTATCTGAGAATTTTTTTTTTTCACCTTTAAACAGGCCTGCCCGTTAATCTTCCTCCCTTTTGCTTGAGAGAGCAATTATCCATTCATGTACCCCTGGGTACCAAGGCCACTTTAGTTAAAGACCTTGTCAACAAGCCACCCCAAAGGGTTAATCTTCCAGATGGAATTTAAACCTACTCGTCCTTTTAATATTTCATTGCTAGCTCCCCACAGCTGAGGCATAAGCTTGGCTTGTTTTAATTAAATTAGATCACACAAGACAGGTGTCTTGGCAGTAAAATTGTGCGCAGCCCATTTTTATCTCATTAACTGCAGTGCTCATCAAGGGTTTGTGTTTTTCTTTCTGGAAACTCTAGGTAAACCAGTAATGATCATAACCGAGTACATGGAGAATGGCTCCTTGGATGCATTCCTCAGGGTACGTGCCTACTCTGTACTAAAGTCCAAGGTCCTATTAAACCCACGGCTGTTGGTGTTTAGAAAATGCAGACTCTGCCTATTGTGGACTCTTAATTGGGGCAAAGGAAGAAGAGGAGAAACAGAGAAGGATGGGTTCAGTGAGGGTGGGATCTGTAGCAAGAGGCTGTTGGAGCTATGGATTCATTATTGCTGGATAATGTTCATTTATCCCAGGAAGCAAACCCTGTTCCCAGAACACACCCCACTAATGAATTAGTGACTTTGGTCAGAAAGGCCTGGGAAAGTTTTATTGCACCGGATACAGATCTCTAAATAGATCCAAGTAATGAAATGTGCAGTGAAAATTAGTTTGGCGCAATGTTAATGAGACCTGCCCATGCCCTCCCCTGCAGAAGAATGACGGCAGGTTCACGGTCATCCAGCTGGTGGGCATGCTTCGTGGTATCGGGTCTGGGATGAAGTATCTATCAGATATGAGCTACGTGCATCGAGATCTGGCTGCACGGAACATTCTGGTGAACAGCAACTTGGTGTGCAAAGTCTCTGACTTCGGCATGTCGCGAGTGCTTGAGGATGATCCAGAAGCCGCTTACACCACCAGGGTAAGGGCGATTCTCTGGACTTGACTCCATGAAACTACTGCTCTCTTCTCATTTTGATGTTTAAGCCCTTTGTGAATTCACCAGTTTCCTCATCCTTCATCCATGTAGCCATTTGTAATCAATGTTTCTTAAAGGATTTTACCCAGGCTCTGGATATATGACCATGTTCCAAAGTCTCAGACTAAAACTCAACTTACTGAATTTATTCACTCTAATCTTTCTGTTCTTGGTTCTTTCTCTTTCCTTCTGTTTTATATTTTCTTTTTGTTTCTTTTCTATTATTATTTTAAGGCCCTTATTTATTTAATTTATTATTTTAAAAATTTAGATTTATTTATGCATACAAGAACTGGGGTACAGGCCAGAGGTGCAGAGATGGTGAGAGGATTCACTAGGAGCAAAGTGCAAAACGGGACAGGGGAATTGACTGAAATACACTGCTGAGGGGAGCAGAGGGAACAGGAGAGGTCTGCCAGCCATGTGGGTCAGCTCCCCCGCTGGGGAGGGGGCACATTCTGAAGTGGCTGCGGCTGCAGCTAGCTTAGTAGTTTGTGCTTTAACCCGTTGCACCACCAGGGAGGGCTCAGAAGCTCTTATTTTAAACGAGACAGAACAATATTTCTCCCTGGTTGGCTTCTGAATCTGAGAATGGATATACAAGATTTATAAAATATTTACACAATGCAAGGTTTTTTGGTATGCAATGAGCTTCATTTTATATCTGGCAGATAAGCTGGGATTAGGGCATGGCTAAGAGTTAGCATTATACCGTTAATGACCATGCTATCTTAACTGGACAATCTGAATATGATACTAATGGAATAAACAGTGATTCATACAGATATTAGCCATTAAAGCTGACACTGTTAACATCAATGCGAGGCATATACCAGCCATATTTCTCCTTGACTTGACCATTTTGCTTCTGACATTCTTAGCATTGTAGTTTCCTACTGGCTGGGTTTTATTATTTTTCCTTATTATAGTGTTCAGTTTCGTGGACTCCGATTTTGATTCTGACACACCCTTTTGAATTCTAAGTCCATTCACTAAGGAAAGGATGCATCTCTGGGGATGCTAAAGATCTTTTTTTTTTTCCTAGTAGTTGAACAAAGTTAAAGGAGATTGCTAGAATGTTACATTTATATATATATATATATACACACATATATATATGTATATATATATATATATATAT